ATCCATTAAAACATATATTGTTAGAAACATGCCTACAAGAATTTTAGAAACAACACAAGATGGTCATGATCAAAAAGAAGATTTAAATAAATTAAAAACCATGTTATTAAATTCAAATTATCCATTAAAAGAAATTGAAAACTTAATAAGACAAGCATGTGAAGAACTTAAATCAAATACAAGCAATAACAGTAATAACAATAACAAAATATCAATCAACTTAATGTTATATATCAATCAGCTGAAACATGATAAATGGTTGTTAGAATCTCCAATAAAAAGTGAGAAATATACTTCAAAAGTGAATTAATGTTTCAGTTCGCTTTATTTTTCAGCTGGTGCTTATGGGAAAGAAAAAAACGAATCTAGTTTATCGGATGACGACGAAGATGATGATCAGAGTGGCGACGAAATTAATCGTAATCCTTCAAATTTTGTGACTTAAACTAGTTTATGATTTGAACCAATAAATTGGTTTAAATCAAGCTTTGTGACATTTGATTGTGGTGAATCAGGATGTATTAAAAATTCCGCACACATGATAATCTGATGACACATATGACAACAGGCAAACATATTATGAAAATCGAACGATGTTACACGAGTAACTAAAATACCTTGCTATCAAACCATCCTAGTTTTTCTAGCTGATTGATATGTAACATTAAGTTGATTGATATTTTGTTATTGTTTCTATTTGATTTAACTCCTTCACATGCTTGTCTTAAGTGGGTAAGTACTGTAATGGACAAAGAAGTGTTTTGGCTGTTTCAGTCAATCACTGATTGATGGGATATCCAAATCCCTCCGATTAATGTCTTAATCACATACTCCGAGGAGTGTTATCCTACATCAATACATTGTACAATTGCAATCAGGCAACTTAATTGTGTCCTCAGTTAAAAGAGAGCGTTCCTTGTTTTGGCATCTGAACTGGGCGAAGGGGCTTGCAATCTGACGGAAGAAATAGTTACAGTTTCATTTTCTCTCGTTTCAGTGTCCATCTCTATATTTGAATCATCTGTATTTGTACCACTTTTAACTCGTCTGCTGTGTCTCATGTAACAAGCTGTACATAGTGCAGTCTCATCATCAATATTATGTCCGTAGAGTTTTAGATACAAATCGTTGACGTAATCGAACATATCCGGCGTGTTTTTCAAGTGACGCTTCTTCTCTTTTCGTAGATCTTTTTCACACAAACCACAACGAGCACTATTGAATGGCATCCTAATTTTTCTAGTATAGCACTCTGAGCTAACAATTATAAAACATATTCGAAGAGGAATGACGTTTTGTGCGGTTTAGCACGTCTAATATAATTTTATTTCATAAAAAATACAGAATGTAACACACTACTGTGAAGGTTTCTAAATGCCTATAACTGTTTGTATAGTCAGAGAAAATTATTATCTTTTTGTTTCGAATACGTGCCTTCTCATCCATCAATCATTATGTATGCTCTTCTCATTTTTTTATCAGTATTTTAAAACATACAAAAATGAGTATACTTCGTTTCTGATTCACTACTTCTCTGTAATATAGGGCAAGAGTGTGAGTACGCGAGAAACATTAATATTAAACAGAACTCACCAAAATGACAATTTACTCTCATTTATTCAATTCATACATTCATTTATTTTCTCTTAAATTATTTATTCATTCATTTCTTTGACAATCACCTCTAACAAAGGTCAGTCGTTGTTGGTAAAGAATGACTATGTGTACAAATGTAACAAAAAAACGGCGAAGAAAAAATATTGCATATGCACAGTTACTGGTTGTAAGGTACATGTCCATACGGCTATGAACAATAATTATTTGTGTGGTAGTAAAAGTGAACATGAGCACGCAGCAAATCCCGAATCGATTGCAATTAATGTAGCTTGACTGTTCTTACTTATCTTTCTTTCTATTTCAATACATAAAAAGTTAATTCGACTTCGATTGCTTGTTTTTAAATTTACTGCAAAAAGCGATATGCAGAACTCTCAATCTCCGCTTTCGACATTTTTTCTTTCTTCCAAAGTACGGGGAATCGTATTTTTGCCTAGTATTCGCCTGGTTGACTGTGTCAAGTCTGAAAATAACTGTGTCTTGTAGAACTCGATGAGTTCTATCGAATGACGTACGCTTCTTGGGGTTCCGTCGAGAAACGAGTCATGAGTTTGAACAAAGTCGGATTTCCAATCTCAACGACTAAATAATTCCGGCGGATATTCGCCTAGTTGCCTGTGTCAATGACACGTCATTCGATAGAGCTCGTCGAGTTCTACAAGATGCAACTGATTCCAGGCTGGATACGGTCAACCAGGTGAAAATTTGACAAGAATAGTGCAGTTTTTGAATTTTTTCTCCTGACTTTGTCAATGAATTTTTCCCGTTTTGTCATTATTCTACTGCACATTCGATTCTCTAGAAGACACACTCATGGCCTGAGAAGACACACAGCAGGAGGCGAATATTAGGTGGAAAAACGCGAATCTACCGCTAACTTTCCTATAATCATTCTAAGCAAGCTACTTTTTGCGCTAAGCTGTAACCGAAATCGTCAAAACTATTGAGCTATGTAAATGTCAGTAAGGCATCTCAATCTTTTTTAAACATAGTGGGGTCAATGGCCTGTTCGGTTTAAATTCGCGCATGACGATGTCACAATTGGATCACCGATATAACACAATAACATCTTTCATTGTGTGGGCTGCACGACAGTGCGCTATGACCGGATTGCGTATTTTTTTCTTCGTTCCGACGGATACCTGATGCTTCCAGCAATATTATCGGTCACTATTTATGTTTCAACAAAGAATGTGCCCAACTATACCAATAGCAGTTGGTATAGTTGTGTGATTGTGACCGATGATCGACATTCTTCTTTCTTTCGAGACACTTTGTGCGATCTTTTCGAATGGCAAGCAATTGTCAATATGCCTATTCGAATGAGGCGTCAATAGATATCAATCTCATTTGTTACTTCTGCAGAATACCTTTCTAGAATCCGGTCTACACGGAATGTATTCTGTCGCGAGTGTATCACCTATTGGATTGATATGAGCAATGAATCATAGTCTACTTGTCGTCATAAGTCTGGACCAATATGTAGCCTAACAAGGGTCAATCGGCCTTTACACAACATTCCCGATCGGTTCCAGGTCAAATGTCTACTGTGTCAAGAAACGAATCTAGAACGAGGCCATTTCAATGATCAGACGAACACAGTGTGTCCCAAAGCCGATGTATCCTGTTCAGAGGTTGATATCAAGTGTCCATGGATGGCATCGTGTGATCAACTGAGCCAACATTTGATGACATTTTCCTTTGAGCCATTGCCGTCTGTGCTCGTTCAGCGGCATTATTTCTTCTTACTTTTCGCCAAAATGAAAAATAAGGATGTAAATAATTTCGTTTTTTTGGGGCAAGAATAGTTCTATCGAATTAGCGTTAGATTTTAAAAATCATGTCAGAAAAACTACAGAAAATTCCTCGATTTCCTCATGTGGGCTCTCTTAAGAAACATCTTTCAGTTAGGATTTTGTACTTGTAAATTATGTAACTCCGGTCTTCATGGTCAATTAATCGTTTTTTACTAATTATATATTTATTTAGTTCTTGATTAAATGAATAAATGAAAATATGTTTTTTAGACTGCACACGCCAAAACTACTGGAATAGGGTTTGTTCAATTACATGAATTCGCTAGCAATAATAGTGTTCACTTGTTGTTGTATCTCGCTCAGCAATGATGACGTATCGGCTTGATTCAGTTTGACTCGCTTGACTTGAT